TCACTACAGATCTCACAGACAATAAAAGGATAATGAGAGACTATAAAGAATATTATGTCAATAAATTCAACAACTTTAATAAATTCCTTGGAATATACAAATAAACAAAGCTCATTCAAGAAGAATTAGATAACCTGACTAACCCTATATCTATTTCAGAAATTGATTTGTAGTTAAAATCTTTCCCACAAAGATGGTTTCATTGTTCAATGCTACTGAATATTTCAGATTGAAATAATATCAATTCCTTACAAATTCACCCAAAAAACTGAAGAAGTGGGGATATTTCCCAACTTATCAAACCCAGAATCACCTAATACTAAAACCATATGAAAATATTACAATAAAAGTGAACTAAAGACAAATATCCCTCAAGAATACAGATGCAAAAACATCTTAGCAAAATTTTAGCAAAATGGATGCAATATATAAAAAAAAAATACGTCATGGCCAGTGGGGTTCATCTCAGCAAAGCTTCATCTGTATTAACAGCTGCTCCCCATCATTTGCATCACCACCTCCTGTCAGATCAGCAGCAGCATTCGATTCTCATAGGAGCTCAAACTCTACTGTAAACTGCATGCGAGGGATTTAGGTTGCGTGCTCCTTACGAGAATCTAATGCCTGATGGATAAGAGGTGGAGCTGAGGCAGTGATGCTAGTGCTGGGGAGTGGCTGCAAATACAGATTATCATTAGCAGAGAGGTTTGACTGCACAATAAATGTAACGCGCTTGAATCATCCTGAAACCATCCCCCGCCATCGCCCTTGTCCCTGGAAAAATTGTCTTCCATGAAACCAGTCCTTGGTGCCAACAAGGTTGGGAAGTGCTGCTGTACAGGTCTGTAGCCTAGGAGCAACAGGCTATAACACATAGCCTACGTGTGCAGTAGGCTATACCACCTAGGTTTCTGTAAGTACACTCTTATGATGTTCACACAATGACAAAAAAGCATTTCTCAGAAAGCATCCACATCATTCAGTGATGCGTGACAGTACAGATGACAAACAAACACATGAAAGATGCCTTGCAGCATTAGTCACTATAGAAATGCAAATGAAACCACCATGAGATACCACTACACACCCACTCATATGACTAAAATTGAAAAGACTGAGAATACTGATTGGTGAGTCCTGTGGTTTGAATGTTTGTCCTCTCCAAAACCGATACTGAACCTTAAACCCCAGTGTAACCATATTAAGAGGTGGGCCTTCAAGAGGTGATTGGGTCATGAGGCCCCTGTGTCTTGAATGGATTAATTCATTCATGGATTAATGGACTAATGGGTTATTGAAGGAGTGGGTTAGTCATCAGGAGAGAGAGTCTGTTATAAAAGCTAGTTTGGCTGCTTTCATGAGCTCCCTTGCCATGTGACACCCTGCACCACCTTGGGACTATGTAGAGAGTCCCCACCGGCAAGAAAGCTCTCACCAGATGTAGTCCCTCTACCTTGGACTTCCCAGCATTCAGAACTGTAAGAAATAGTAATAAATCTCTTTTCTGTATTAATTATCTAGTCTCAGGTATTCTATTAAAGCAACACAAAACAGACTAAGACACAGAGAATGTGGAACAGCTGAACTTCTCATAGACAACCCGTGGGCATACACAATGTTACAATCACTTTGAAAAGCAGTTTGGAAGTTTCTTCAGAAATTAAAAAACTGCTTACCCCATAACTCTGATATTCCACTCCTAAGTATTTACCAAAGAGAAATTAAAACACAGGTCCACAAAAAAAGATTTGTACACAAATGTTCATAACAGCTTTTTCTGGAATATCCAGAAACCGAAAACAATCCAAATGTCCTTCAGTATGTGAGCAGATAAATAAACTGCAGTATATTCACTTTAATGACCCAAATTTATATCTTCACTCCTTCCTGTAGAATGCTATTTTGTATAGGTGACAGTTTACAATAAAGAGAAATGAAGCTAAGATAGGCCACTGGCTTTTATAACAGATCCAATCTCGTGATAACCAACCCATTGCTTCCTCCATAATTCATTAATCCATTAATTTTCCCAAAACCTAAAAGACAGAATAGCGTACACTTACTGGCACCTGTAGTCTTTGTGTATTCTTCCTTTTCTTCGACAATCTCTTGTCTTTGGCTAGCATCTTTGCTGTCATCCAAGCTGACTGCCCTATTTCCGAGGATCTTGAGAGATCTGTAAGGGAAATGGTCTACATGAGAAAGTTTATGACAGGATGGGAGGCCCATTTTGATTTACAGAAAAAGCTGAGAGAATGAGAAGACTTTGAATGCAGTTAAGAGTCATAGATTTTAAAAAAAAATGGTAGCAATGCAAAGGATTTAATACTGTTTTTTTAAAAAATGTTTACTCCTTACTTTTCATCTTACGGCTCTTCATCAATTTCTCTTCCTTGTGGAATCTAAAGCTATGGCTCCTAGTGAAAGGCCTGTCTCTGTGGAGAGAATTGATCCAAAAGGATGTGTTTAGCTGGAGCCATGGTCCCACCTTTGAGCAATCACTACTCGGGGCCAATCTTGTTGAAGAATTATCAGATAGGGAGCTGCCCTGGCTCTGCGACTGGCATTGTTCACTCTGAGTGAAGTCACTGTTGCAAGTGGAGGGCAAGGAGGTTTGCCATTTTTTCTTGATGCTAAACACACCAGTTTCATCACCTTCTGAAAATGCCCAGTTCACATATCCACCTCCGGTCTGCATGCTCTTGATTTGGGAAGGAAGAGAAGTCACTGTCAGGGGTGCAGATGTGCAACTCAAAGTGGGGAGAACTTGCTCCACCTTGCCTGGCTTGTCTGATATCTGAGCGATTGGCTGGTACTGCTCCCTGGGCTCAGCCACTGATGCCTGGTCTGTGACAATGGGGGTCTGCCAAGTCGGATGAACAGGAACCTCACTGTGCATGACCTGTTCGGCTGCCAGCACATCTGCACCTCCTTCCACAGGTGGTCTGGACAGAGGCAAAACAGTTTCTACAGGAAAAGGAACTTGCTTTAGACTAGAAGGGACTGGGAGAAATTGGCCATACTTTGAGGGTGCTTGCCTATTAGGAGACACCCCAAAAGCAACTCTCCTATTTTCTGTTTCTTGCTCTCCCTGGTCATCTCTTACATTCAATGCCTCTCTCTGACTATCTGTAATCTCAGGAAGAGCCCCCCTCTGCACTCTTGGGGGATGCTGGCCTCTGGCCAGGCTCCTCAGCAAAGAAGGGGGCATGCTATAATACTGGTATTTCTTCTTCCCAGACATCTCCATGCTGCCTAGAACCTCTGCACAGATGATATTGCTCCAGCTGTGGGGAAGGTTTCTGCAAGTAGAATGTTTTCTGTTGGCCAGGAGAGCCTCATCTTCTTGCAAGGTGTCAACAGCAGACAGGACTTTTAGAGTATCCACAGTCAGGGCAGAGAGGTCCTGCAGGTGTCCCACCTGGCTGTCCAAAGACATTAAGGAGTCCTTTATAAAAGACACTTTTTCATTCATTTCTTTCAGCTGGAAGTACATCTCTGTAACCCTAATGGTGAACGGAAGGAGAAAAGCAATAAACACATTAAGTTGGTGGGGATTTGCCTTGTTCTCTCCTGCCCTGCTTCTATCCTTAGGTGGCTCCTCAGACTGGGCTGCTTCCCTGAGTTAGGCCTGTCTTCTGCCTTCTTCTCTCTCCGATATATATTCTAAGCCCAGGCGATCTCCTCCACTCCTATAACTCCCATCATTACTCCAAGGAGGAAAAATCACAAATCTACATTTCTAGCCCTTTATTTCCTTCTAATATCTCCAAACCACATTTCCAGCTTCCTGCTACTTATTCCTTCAATCATCTGATCAATCATCCCATTTCCATTCATTAATATATTTATTTATTTACATGACAAACACTTGAATACTTCCTATTGGCAAACATTTCACTATTTTGACAGGAAAAGGAGATCCTGAGGAAGAAACTAGATAGAATGACAGGAACAGAATTAATGATCAAATATGTAATTAAGAAAAAAAAAATTACAGGTCTTTAAAAAAAAAAAACAAAAAACTCCAACTCTACAGTTCAAACAGGCTTCCCAATCTCCAAACAGAATCCATTTCAAAAGACCTATATTCAGCCTGGAGCAAATTTTTAAGATGACTTTGCATAGTTTAACCCAAGACCATGACATCCAGCTATTGACTCATGTGTGGGCAACAAAATACATCTTCGGTTGTGCAAGTGCAAAAATAAATTGACAAATCCAGGAGGTGAGATATACTACAGTGTATCACTGGCCAGGTCTTTAAAAAAAAAAAACAAAAAACTCCAACTCTACAGTTCAAACAGGCTTCCCAATGTCCAAACAGAATCCATTTCAAAAGACCTATATTCAGCCTGGAGCAAATTTTTAAGATGACTTTGGATAGTTTAACCCAAGACCATGATATCCAGCTATTGACTCATGTGTGGGCAACAAAATACATCTTCGGTTGTGCAAGTGCAAAAAATAAATTACAACTATTATGTACCCACAATAATTTAAAATTTAAAAAATTATAAGTGGAATTAAAGGTAACAATTTTATTTAGAGAAAAGTGGAGAGTGAAAGAAGAAAATGTTGGTTAATATTTATCTGTACAATCTGTGTAAATATCTCTATAGGGGGATGTTTTGTTTTGTTTTCCGTACTCCAAAAAAGATATGTTGAAGACTTAACCCCAAAACTCCAGAATGTGATCTTATTTGGAAATCAGGTCTTTAAAGAGGTAATCGAGTTAAAATATAGTCATTAGGCTAGACCCTAATCCAGTATGGCTGGTGTCCTTATCACAAGGAGAAATTTTGACACAGACACGCACAGAGGGATGACAGCGTGAAGACACATGGGACACATTAACCATCTACAAGACGAGGAACGCCAAGACTTGCCAGAACACCAGAAGCTAGAAGAGGCAAGAAAGGATTCTTCCCTCGAGACATCAGAGAAAGCATGGCCCTGCCAACATTCAGATTTTGGAGTTCTAGCTGTCAGAAGTGTGAGACAATAAATTGCTGTTATTCTAAGATACGCAGTTTTTGGTATTTCGCTATAGCAGCCCTAGGAAACTAACACAGTTAGCTAAGCTTAACGATCAATTGAATAAATTACAACATATATCAGATTTGAGTACATAAAAAGAAATTTGTATGTGAAAATATAATACAAAATTTTAAAACAAAAATAAATTGGAAAACTAGAATTCTAACAAGTTTGATGAGGCACTGATATCCTTTAATAAATCAAAAGCTTTTTACAAAGTATTGAGGAAGAACATTACAAAGACTCCTGGGGACATGAACATATAGTTCACAAAGATACAATACAAAAGACATGGAAATACAGTAAAACAGTCAATCTCACTAGGGAATCAGAGATGAAAATTAAGGAGCTAGTGAGTTCTTCTGTAGTGTAACATTTGTTTAAAAAAAAAAGAGTAAAACAACTCAGTGATGGCACAGATGCCATCTTGTGACACAACACATATAAAGAGGCTGTAATTTCACCATGCTAAAGCAGAAAGGTACTTGTTACATTATGAGAAAGAATATTACACAGACATTAAGAATCACACTCACATTGTTGATAGTTATTTTCTTTGGCTGTTTCTGGTGGTAGATGAAGGACTGTGATGTCTGTTATGCTCTGTATTATATGTTTTTAAATTTGGTGTAAAAATTTTGTAAGTAGGCCGGGCACAGTGGCTCACGCCTATAATCCTAGCACTCTGGGAGGTCGAGGCAGGAGGATCGCTTGAGGTCAGGAGTTCGAGACCAGGCTGAGCAAGAGTGAGACCCCGTCTCTACTAAAAGTAGAAAAAATTAGCCAGGCGTGGTGGCATGAGCCTGTAGTCCCAGCTACTTGGGAGACTGAGGCAGGAGGATCGCTTGAGCCCAAGAGTTTGAGGTTGCTGTGAGCTAGGCTGACGCCAAAGCACTCTAGCCCGGGCAACAGAGCGAAACTCCGTCTCAAAAAAAATACTTTGTTAAGTAAAGAAACATTAAAAGTTAAAATATATTTATAAAGTATATGCAATTATTTGGAGGAAAGGTTTTTGATATGTAAGAGGGGGAAAAAATACAAACTTGTTTGGTTTTAACTGAAAATATATAGAAGACTAAATAGAAAAAAAGCCAAAATTTTCGGTGAGCTCTGTCTTACGATATTGTTTTTTCTTTCTTTTCTTCCTTTGTTTTGCTCTTCTACTTGAGGGGAGGGAATACAGTTCCAATTTCTCAATGAAAATCTTTGATAAACAGGATTAAAGTACAAACCAGCAAGAGAGGGAATCTAACCAACAGGTGCGTGGCTGACATGACCGTTGCAGAAATGAAAAATTATCTCCAGTCTTATTTGGGAGCAGGGAAAAGCGGTGATTATACCACAAGGAGGTTGACATTTAGTTGTAACAAATACTTCCCAAAATAGTGTTAGACTTCCCATCTCTAGAATACATCTCAAATCATAGGGATTGAAAGAACTTCTACTTCTTCTTATTGGGAGCTTTGCAAATAGGAATTTTAAAAAAAGGGGGGGTGGTATTTTCCATTTTTATTATATTCCATGTGGGTTAGAACCCTCTCTTTCTTGCTTCTGCTATAGAACTCAACTTCTATAAACTCAATAGAGGCTTAACAAATGCTTTCTGACCTTCTGGAATCTGCAAAATTAGAATTGGCAAGGATGATGTGGGAAAGAGCACAAAATATATGTATATTCCTTTCCAAATATGCTTAATTAGAGCCTCTCCATCCAGTGCACTGTTTCATCTAATTCAAAAAACGGTACAGTCTGAACGGCAGTAATGAAGACTCATTAAGTTCCATTAGCAGCAGTCACATCGAATGCATACAATAGCAACCAGCAGCTATTCACAGCAACAGGTAACACGCTTCAATAGAAACCTGTTAGACAAGTAACCTGGTCACCTTCAAATCAGGCCCTCTTGCTTTTACGGGTACTTATTCTCTAAAGCTCAATGTCCTGTGAAGCATACTTTAATTATATTCCCAGACCACCAGCTACATTAATTTGATCTAGCCTCTCAGTCATTCTGACACATAAAATAAATTCTTATAATTTTAGTTCCCTCTGTGCAAAGTATGAGGATAAAGGAAAGACAAGAATGGTAATTGTTTTATTGGAGGCCTTTGAACAAGATACTTCAAAATGAGATAATAGCAAGTATAATTATAATCATCATGAAAATCAGAGTGTTCACTGAGTGCTCACTATGTGCCAGGCATTTAACAAAGGTTCTACATGTACGATTTTATTTAATGCACATAACAACCCTATAAGGAGGCACTACTTTTGTCCCTTTCATAGGAAAGAGGTCGGGTCACACAGCCAGCACATGCCTGGCCAGGGAGCGAGTCGGGCACCAAGCACAGGCGGTCTGACTCCGTACTCAAAGGCAGTAAGCACTGCATGCCAGGACCTCTCAGCAATCCAACTGGGATCTCGGCGAGTTTCTGTTGGGGGGGCCTAGAGTCACAGGAAGCACTAAATGAACTTCACCAGCATTTCCCAGGCAGAGAGGTGTTCACAGACGTTCCTCAATAAGGTTTCACAGTCAAACAATGAAGGGGCTTGCTCAAGCTGTAACTCTCTACCATTGAGTTACAATGCACATTATGTTAAAGCAAGGAAATTAAAAACCACAGCATTTCCCAAACATAATGCACTCGAACATGCTCAATGTGAAAAAATAACTAAAAACGTCTTACTCCACAGAACAGAGAGAGGGAAAAGCTGGCTTACACTACTAGGGTCAAAAAAGAAGCTAGTGTTGCAAGTAGGAAAAGAAAGCAAGGTATAAAACAGCCTTACCACACTCTCTTTTTTTCCACTTTCACAACTCACTTAATTCTAGAAGGAGTAACATTCGTTGGGTGGTCAGGCAGGTGGTGGGGGAGTAGGGGATGGATGTATTCATACCTTATGGGGGTGCTACGCACCGTCTGGGGGATGGACATGCTTGAAGCTCTGACTTGGGTGGAGCAAAGGCAATATATGTAACCTAAACATTTGTACCCCATAATATACTTAAATAAAAAAAAAAATTCTAGAAGGATGTAGGCAATTGCTTCTTCAGAGGTAAGCAACATACAAATATCCTCCTGATCTCTTTTCCCTCCCTCTTCAAACTATTGCTCAGTTACCTCAGGAAATAGTCTCCCTTCCCTCTCACACCTCATTTATGAGCTCCCCAGAAATGACATCAACAAGGATGAAGTATAAAAACAGCACCACTGGCCAGGCCCAGTGGCTCGCGCCTGTAATCACAGCACTCTGGGAGGCCGAGGCTGGAGTATCATTTGTAGTCAGGAGTTTGAGACCAGCCTGAGCAAGAACAAGACCCTGTCTCTACTAAAAATAGAAAAATTAGCTGGGCATCATGGCACAAGCCTGCTCCCAGCTGCTCTGGAGGCTGAGGCAGGAGGATCACTTAAGCCCAGGAGTTTGAGGTTGCAGTGAGCTAGGCTGACACCAATGCACTCTACCTGGGGCAACAGAGAGAGACTCTGTCTCAAAAAAATAAATAAATAAAAAAAAACAACAAAAAAAACTGCCACTGAGATAGCTCTATCAAGAGATAAAATTGACTATTTTGCAGTTAAATTAGAACTTCATTAAACTCCTTGGAAGTATCCATAGTTTTCAGAAGCTACATACCCATCTACTTTCTAATCCTCTCCTCAAATCCCAAGAAAAGAATCTAAGAAAATATAACAAGATATGATCATTAATGTTCTTAGGGTTCTATTATTATCATTGAATTATTTGTTTATAAATATCTGGCTCTCAAGTTTTCCCTCTATATCACTTGGCTTCTGGTACCGCCTTCTCTTCGCTCTCCTTATACTGCTCTGCCCAGTTCTTGCTTGTCTCCTCCGTGAGTTCCTCTTTCCCTGTCCATTGCACAGGTGTTCGCACCACCTGGGGTTCAATCCTCAGCCCACTGAGTTTCCTCACTCTACTTGTTTGCTGGGCACAATCACTTCCTCTGTCATACTTCAGTTTCCTGCAATGGGCAGATGACTCCTACAATTGACTCTTCCCAAAGGCAGATGATCTCCTTGTCCAAGTCTTCAGATTCATGCATCCAAAGACCCCTGGACATCTCCAGCTAAATGTGCCACAAGAATCTTCAGCTCAAGAAATCTACATTGTTTTCTCCCCATACCTTTTATACATTCTTTATCTGGATGGCACCTTCTTTCAAAGCTTGATTACCCTGGCTAGAGTCGTCCCGGACTCTATCCCCTCCCTCAGCTCACATCTAGTCCCCAACATGTCTCAGGAATTGTCCTTTCTAAATATGTCTCATTCATCCCTTCCTTTCGCTCCCGCCATCACTAACCTAGGCTGGGCTGGGGGCTCACCGTGCGCTGCACCATTCTCTCAAGGGGTCTCCCTGGCTCCAGTTCTGACACCGAAATCCACATTATCACCGAAGGCAAATCTGTCCATAGCACTGGCCACCTAAAAGCCTTCCTCAGCTTGTAGTTTAAAGTAAGGAGCTCTCCATGAACTTGTCCTAGTTTATACTCTTGGGGGAAGAGAGTAGGCTGTCTCGACCCCATTTTATCTATTTATTTCCCTTTTCTTAAGGTTTGGAAGGGGATTTGTGTTTAAAAAGAAATTATACTCAATTTTTTGGAGTCTATTTGTGCAAAATAACAGATAACTTTCATTGCACCCTTTCTATGAGCACACTGCCACATGGCTCATCTACGTTATCTCATTCATCTTTACAGCTCTAAGAGGCAGGTCTGTTTTCATGTCCATTTTACATATAAGTAAACTAAGGCCCAAAGAGGTTCAGTAAATTTGCCCAAGTACAATAGCTAGTAAGCGGCTGCAGCGGGACTTTGTCCCAGCTCCATAAGCTCCTAACATGGGTGTATGCTACATACAAAACTGAGAACCAAGCTGGCCCACAGGACTCAGTGAGCACAGCCGTAAAGTGGGCAGACTGTGTCGAAGAGGGAAAGGGAAGTCATACAGCTGAGACCTAAAGATATTGTTTAGATAAAATAGGATCTGGGGGGGTCACAAATCTACCATATTCAACTTTGAATATCCAACTGAGTTTGATATTCAATTTTTTCTCACTATTAAATTTGATCTGAAATTTAATCACCTACATAAACACATATTTACATGAATATGGTACCAATAGAAAAGTCCAGACTTATATAAATAAGACTTATGCCCATAGTGAACCATTGAGAAAACTCTTAATGTGATTCAGTTTTAAATAAATAAATCCATGTCTAAGGATTCACATCTATCTATGTGATATTTGGACATGAGAAAAAAATACTTGTGTAACAAGGTACAACATTTTATAGTCAGTTCCATCTATATTCAAAAATGAAGGAACACATTTAACTTCTGTCAATTTGCTTCCACTTACAAGAGCAATTCTGTGTTTTAAAAAATGCATATCATCACATATAGTCTTGCATATTTTAACACGATCCATGCGCCCACAGTTAGCAATGCATCCATCCACAATAGCTTTTGTCCCATTATAGTTTCCTAATATGTGCACTTTCTCCAACACATCTCCTCTTTCCCCAAACCTCCCACTGCCCTCCCTGCACCACCCTCCTCCCCGCAGTCACACGCACCCACAGGCGCTCTCGGCGGAGGACTTTGCCTCGAGAACTGTGTGCGCACTCCTGTGTCTGCCTCCTCTCGTACCCTGACCACACGCTCTCCTGTTCCCTGCTTGGGGGAACATCCCAGACCCTCCATTAACCTGCCCCTCAATGGCTTCCCTTCAACAAATGGCCTCCTCCCTCCTGCTTCTGCAGTTTCTCCCCTGCTGGTGGATCATCTCTAGGACAACACAACTGTATTTTGTTATTTCCACGTGAAGCAAAACAAAAGGCAAGAACCTCACCATGTCCCTACATCCCATCTCGCTGAAACTCCTCCCAAAAGCCAACTGTAGTTGCTGTCTCCACTTCTATTCTCTCTTCACCCCCTTCAGTGAAGCTCCCACCAACTCCACTACACAGCAATCACTATTCAAGTGCCCAGCGACTCCTCATCCAACTAGCACACTGGACTCTACCTTGTCGGGGGCCTACCCCTGCTGCTGGACACAGCGTGCTGCCCCAGCCGGCTGCACGTGCTGCTCCTCCTGCACTACTCTGGTGCGCCGTTCCACCGACGCCCCTGGCTGGCCCCCTCCCCTCACTTCCTTCAGGCCTCTCCTCCCCACATTCCTTAGAGCAACCTTCCTGCACCAGACAGTCCAACCCAACCCCCAGCTCTGCCAGGTCCCACACCACCATCATTTTCTATTCTTTTAAACTACCTATTTTTCTTCATCACTCTTTTACTGCCTGATATTAAATTACATATTTTTATGTGTTTCCTTGCTTACTTTTGTTCCCCACTCCCTTTGTTTCCCTCACCACCTACAAACACACACACATTAGAACACAAGTCCTCTGAAGACAGGGACTCTAGTCTCTTATTCACCATTTATCCCTAGTATAATAACTAGAAGAGTGCCTGGAACATAGTAGATGCTCACTAAATAAGCATTGGTTATGTGAATATTATATGCTATTAGATGTTTCGAATTTTTGAGAAACCAAACCTCTGGGATTTGAAAGCGGATCTTTCTACTCTTTTAGACATTCTAGTAGAATCAGGTTTTGGTAGCAGTTTGGGAATGAGAAAGATACATAGCTGTCACCTTTCTGATGTCACTCGGATTCGTTCCTCACAACTACAATTCAGATTTTCCGTCTTCTCATGGAAGTATTTTTCTACACACTGCTCTTCAAAATCATGAAGTTTTTTCAGATCCTCCTTACTCAGGTAGAGTTCTGTAAAAATAAGTATGGTGCATAAAAAGAATCATTACTTGCCCTAAACAGGAAGCTGGCACAGAGCTTGAGCTTCTTCCACTTGTGTTGAAAATGATAAATTATAGCTTGTGTGACAAAAGTTTGCTGCTTTGTCACACTGTATTCCTGATACTAATGGAGAAGCATTACATAGAAACACCTGGAAACACCAGTCTGAATCTCTCCTACTTATTCTTTGAAAATGACTCATGTATAGAATCATTTCTCGTCAATATTTTCGTAGGTTAGAATGTTTTCACAGATTAACAAAAATCACCACATTTATATACAAATAGGGAAAGAATCTGATTATCTCTTTTTTTCTCTCTCTGCCAACTCTTTTAGCTCCCAAAATGATGATCAATGACCTACAGGTTAAAATCAAGGTTAGAAGAAGGTAAGGTCTATTGAAATTAATCCACTAAGTATGAGAAAGTTTTACCTTGTTATTCTGAGTTTGTATACACAAAGTCCTTCTATTGAAAAAAGAGACATCATCATCACTGGTCAATGGCTAATTGAGGCTGTAGCATTCCCTGACATCATTATAATTATGATAATTATATCATCTATAATGTGTCATTGAAAGACACATCTGGCCGGGTGCAGTGGCTCACGCCTTTAATTCTCGCACTTTGGGGAGTCAAGGCAAGAGGATTGCTTGAGGCCAGGAGTTCAAGACCAGCCTGAGCAATAGAGTGAGACCTCATCTCTACAAAAAATTTTTAAAAATTAGCTGGGCATGGTCTCAGCTACTTGGGAGGTTGCACCAGGAGGATCACTTGAGCCCAGGAGTTTGAGGTTGCAGTGATCAGTGATGACACCAATGCACTCTAGCCCAGGCAACAGAGCAAGATCCTGTTTCAAAAAATAAAATAAAACAAAATTTAAGAAGACAAATAATTTTGTGATATTATGAGGCTGATACAATTCTTCACCAAACTTCAACATTCACATTTGTTCTACCACGTTGTCTCTCACTCTTACCTAACAAAACAATACATCATCTTTTAATCAAGTTTCTAAGACTTTGAAAATATAAAAATGAAATGATAACCCTAAAAGGATAAAATTGGAAAATTCTCTTTCTTGAATGGTTTCACTCAAATTAAAACAAAAAGAACTAATACAGTTCTCCAAAATTTATTAAAAATACAGTTAGTCCATTATTTTCCAATAAAATGAAAAACAAAATGCTAATTTTAAATCAAAAAACATGGCTAAAATGAATGTTCAGCCATTAAATGTGTTCACCATTCAAATGCACATGTTTTCTGGTTTATATGGTGTGAAAGAGTCTTCCAAACACTGAAAAAATCTAGTCTCTCCCACCCCCACCCAACTATAATGTCCATTTGCATTAAAAAGTCTCCTGTGAGCGAGAAACTTTATGATCTGAGCCTTCTGTGGATCCCTGAGAGCAAACTATCCAAACAGCAGTTCCAGCAGGACACAGTGGCTCACATCTATAATCCCAGCTATTCAGGAGCCTGAGGCAGGAGAATCTCTTGAGCCCAGGAATTCGAGGCTGCAGTGAGCTATGATCACACTGCTGCACTCCATCCTGGGCGACAGAGCAAGCCCCTGTCTCTAAAATGCAAACAAAAAGCGATTCCATTGACAGGTGTAGCTTGCAGTGTGGACGCTTTCCTGTAACTGTCCACAAGGTGGCATTGCTGCCCCGTGTGTTAATGTCTTCACATAAAGGCTCGGAAGCAACTTCATGAAAATTCAAGAATGTTCCAGAGCTCAGAGTAAACTCACCTCTACCCATCAAAGAATTTACTTGAGTTTTATATGAAATCATCCTATAAGCCCACACCAAGGTGAGCCCAGGGAAGTTTCTTTCATGCAATATTAGGAAATCTGGGCAAATCCTAGTTACTTCCAGTAGCTGTCGAGTGGTTCACACTCTACTGTTAGGTTGCAAAGGTTCTGTAGCCAATGCCTAGAACCGCTCGCTATTAGAAGCCTGACATTTACAGTATAATTATAAGTCTTCAAGTTAACTTCAGTTGCGCTTTGGCCTCCACATAAAGGCTGAATCTCTTGAGGAGAAGAAATGAAAAAGAAAAAGAAATCTTCAAAGTGACTCAAGAGGAAAAGAAATGCTTCACAGAGCCAACAACCACAAGCAAAACATGTCACTCTGTCAACCCTAGAATAACACACTGCATAGGATAACCCTACGGACCCGTCTAAACATAAAAATATTCCACTGTAGCTCGTCTGAAACACCTGAAATCAGGAGTATTTTAGAATTGAGAATTTTTCTTTTCTACTTTTAGGAAGGTAATACAATAATATGCCATAAATGAAATGAAACCCCTAGGTAAGGCTAGGGCAATTCCTAAAATCAATCACATTACTATCTTCTGCAACAAAATTGATGAAAATTCACACTACAGGGGTAAAAAGAATAAATGATTTCAGCTCAGTCCCCATCAGCCTCTTCTGGCCAAATGAGTCTTTCTCCAATTATGAAGAAAAAAGAGACTTTCAGTTTTCAGAGATATTTTGGATTTAAGAATTGTGATAAAGGATTATAGATTTATGCCACCTGTTTCCAGTATAGCTAGGAATTATCTAGAAATGGGCCTGGTACTAATTGTGGAATTGCTTGATAGAAACTACAAAAGGGCCAGGCTAGGTGGCTCACGCCTGTAATCCTAGCACTCTGGGAGGCCGAGGCAGGAGGATCGCTTGAGATCAGGAGTTTGAGACCGGCCTGAGCAAAAGTGAGAGCCCGTCTTTACTAAAAATAGAAAAATTAGCCAGGGTGCGCGCCTGTAGTCCCATCTACTCGGGAGGCTGAGGAAGAAGGATCGCTTGAGCCCAGGAGTTTGAGGTTGCTGTGAGCTGAGCTGATACCACGGCACTCTAGCCTGGGCAACAGAACAAGACTCTGTCTCAAAGAAAAAAAAAAAGAATAGAAAGTGAAAAATATCTGTAAAACCACAATAAGCAATGTTCTTTTTTAACTATTAGTATGATAGCCACATCATGCAGTCAAGATTTGGCTACACAAGATGAACTAGGAAAAAAACATCAAATTATGTAGGCTTATGTTTGGAAAAAAAGAACTAAAAGTGAGAATCCATATTTCCACATCCTGACTCACTATGTTCCCCAGGCTGGAGTGCAGTGGCTAGTCATGAGCTCAATCATAACGCACTACGGCCTTGAATTCCTGGGCTCGCGCTATCCTCCTGCCTCAGCCTCCCGAGTAGCAGGGACGACAGGGGCACATCACCACGCCCAGCCTCTGAGTTAAAGTTCTTGAAAATAAGAACATCCATTTCAGAATCACCTCCGTACTCAGTAGATTACAGAACTAGAGAACCATGATTCTGGTTAATAAGTTAAGCAAAGTCTTGCTTATCTAATTCCCTGAGGCCCCAAGCCCTTCTGTAACTGCTTTCTATTTGAATTCCATCTTCCACAACAGAGAAAAAAGTACGTGTCACATGACTACTCTGTAGGAGATATTCTGATGAGTTCTCAGGTCTGCAGAGAAAACGTAGGTTTTCCAGGTGACGTACGGCCCTTACACGTTCGAACAGAGATTCTCTTCCTACCTATTACTTTCTTTCAAAGTATCCGTTAATCTTGGCAAAAGGCACTACGACGGCCTGACGACCACAGAAGGAGGTCAATGTACTTACTACGACCCAGCACCAGGTGATTTTCTGTTTCAATTTCAGTTAACTCCCAGAGCCTTCCATCCTGTGCCCTGAATTTAATTTACGATGCCCCAGGGTGTCTCTGCCTTGTATCTCCACCTTTTACTCTCTTCCCTTGCCTCACCAGTAAAAACTTACTTAATCCCACATCGCCCTCTTCTTGGTCACTGGGCGCTCGGCGGTGGCACAGGCGGCGGAGGAGGAGGCACACGTGGCTCAGGAGAATCAGAGGCGGCGGAAGCCAGGGCTTCTCGTGGTAGGTCATGATGTAGCGATAGCGGTTGTATTTCCACAGCTTATTTGAGATGGATTTCAGGTCTAAGTAAACATTGCTGTAAGTCGTAGTAAGAGAGGGACAAGGTTTTAATAGGAAATCCTGAAACATAACATTTTCTTCATTTTCCAATTTTTATGATTGGTTCCCCTGACATGACCAAGAGTTAGCCCATAAAAATAACATCCACTGCATTTATGATTCTTCTTCCACTGAATATAATACATCAATCACCTTTCACAATAAAATATGCTAATCAAAATAACAAGCGAAATGCAGAAATTACAGTCAGAAGAAAATGCAAGTATGTTCAATGTAATGAACAGAAACTGCCCTCTGGAACTCAACACTATTCTTGGTCACCATCTCTTCTCACATAAGAAGCTCTTTTTCAGTCCATAATTTATCCTTCATGGTAAACAGCTTTAATGTTCCTCTATATCATCAACCTTACGAAGATACCGTCCTAATGTCAAATGTGAGAACTGCTAGAATAATCCTAGTTAAAACACCCAGATGAAACAGTAGTAATGAAGAAGAAGAGAAAGGGAAGAAGAATCAATTCATCCTAAAATAAATCAATAAGCTGAGCTTCTACTAGAAGCTAGATAAATTATTTCAATTAACTTTACAGTAAAAGTAACTTCTTATTGGTAGGTCACTTTGGATTTTCCCTTTAACTATGTCAGTTATAATATGCAGATAGTATAGTGAATATTGATATTACAGCACTTATGCTAGAAGTAATAGTCGGGAGAAAAGTTATTCTAAAACAACGTATCATCCTTAACTTCTTTACTCAAGTATATAACAAGATATGGGGGTGGGGTGACACAATGGAACGTCCTCCCTCACATTTGGTTTAAGCTAACAAAAAATTTAGCTTCTTTAGAGAAAGATGGCAGAGTAGAACTTGAGGAGAGTGGCCAATTTAGCAAATAAAAACACAGGCAACCCTGAACCTGAACAGCGATAAAGAAAAGGAACCAGAAACATCCTGGAGAGAGCCAGTTCAGGGTAAGAATGGGGGGATGTTTCACAGAATCCATGCAGAAGGTGATGGAAACATGGATGACTGGGTCAGAACAGTAGTTCTCAAAGTGGGGTCTCTCCACCAGCAGCCTCGGCGTAACCTGAGAACATGTCAGAAATGCACATTCCCGGGCCCTGTCCGGGAACTACTGAATGAGAAACTCTAGAGGTGGACATTCTAGCAAACTGCGTTTCAGCAAACCCTCCAGGTGTGTCGTGCCAAACATGACTGCACCTTCCACCAGCAGGTGGCAACCTTCACAGTGGATTTGCAGGCTCTTTTTTAGTATTGGTCTGAAGAATTCTGTCTGTACACGGCTCCTGGGCAAGTAGCCAGATCTGGGGCTGTTCAGCTTGTTTGGTCCACAATGTGTTCATCTCTGAAGTGAGAAGACTGGTCTATGTGAGGATTCCTCAACCCCTCTTTTGATATTGGACGTTTCTGAGCAACAAAAATCTCACACCCTCTTATTTGCCGTATCACAAAACAGCTATAATAATTAAATGCAAAGAAATGTTATAAATTCCTAAAATGGTAGGGCTGAGAGAGATAAAAGCTATCTCATAATTTTGTAACAAGCAGAAAGGTATATCCTCCCCCATACATGTAACGTCATTTTTTTTAAGTATTCTGATTTATTTTGACTACTTCCCATCCCCTACCTTCTCTACTTTCTCTACTTAGATTCTATAAATTCTTACCTTTCTGTCTTCAGTGAGATAATCAATGAATAAAATACCTGGCACAGTGCCTGGCATATAAGAGGCATTCAGAAAACGCAAAATTCTTCCCATCACCTCACTTGGTTCCTTTCATCTGTTAAACAATTATGTGCCAGGCACTCTTTGCAGTATTTGGGATAAATTCATGAGCAAAAAAGGCAAAAATACTTGTCCTTGTGGAGCTTATATTCCAGTAGAGGAGCCACACAACAGAAAAACATAACACATAAATAAATTATAAAGTGTATTTGCATCTGTAATAGAAGTAGGTGTAAAGAGAGAAGATTAAGCAGGGTGAGGCATGCCAAGAAGACGGCAGAAGAAAGGGGCTGCACTTCTAACTGCAAGGCTCAGGCTAGACCTAAGCAAAAAGGGCCCCTGGGCAAGGCTGGAGGGGAAGGGAATGAGCCACAGCGGAAGAGCACTCTAGGCAGAGGAAACTGCAAGTACAAACCCAACAGTGTTGTGTGAAAAACTGTGCGCGGCCAGTGTGGGTGGAGAGGAATGGATTAGGGGGAGGAACAGTATGATGCACAATCTGAGAAGTCACAGGGAAGCCAAATCACACAGGGCCATATAGATCATTGTAGGAACTTTGACTTTTACCCAGAGGTGAATGGGGAGCTATTGAAGAGTTTGGAGCAGAGGAGTAACATCATCTGGTGTATGTTTCCAAAGGACCATTTGGGGCCAGGCACAGTGGCTCACGCCTACAATCCTAACACTTTGGGAAGCTGAGGCTGAAGGATCACTTGAGGCCAAGAGTTCGAGACCAACTTGGGCAACCTAGTGAGATCCTTTCTCTGCAAAAAGATAAAAGATTAGCCAGGCATGGTGGTGCACACCTGTAGTCCCAGCCACTTGAAGGGCTGAGGTGGGAGGATGGCTTGAGCACAGGAGTTTAAGGCTGCAGTGAACTATGATCACGCCACTGCACTCCAGCCTG